TAAGAAGCAGCTAGGTCCCGCTTCGCAAGCACAAGTCTCTTTATTCAAAAAAAAAAAAAAGACCGACCGCATCGGGTTGTTCGTCGATACCCGTCGGGCAATGACAACTGTTATCTCCCTTGGGCAAGCTTGAATTCACCTCTCTTTCCTTCACGATGCGACATCGCAAGCGTCTTTCCTCTAGCGAGAATGTCGCAAAACTCTGTGTTTCGGCCCCCGCGGACGCCCTTCCATCTCTGAGGCTTTTATGCAGGCTATCCCACGTGTCCCGGATCGCCCCGGAAAGCTCCGTCCCTCTACCAAAACGCCAGATGACAGCAGGGGAAAACGAAAAGTACTAATTGCCTTCGGGTGGGTTCACGCGCGGAGAGGACGCACATAAAAACCCCAGCAGACGCGCTTTGACCGTGTCTTCAAAGCTCACTCCGTGCGACATCAGAGCACGTTAAAGAGCACCAGATGGCTGAAATTCGAAATTACAGGAGCCGTCCACTACGGCATGCCTCTTTTCGTATCGTGGATTTTGGAGGTAAAGCCATGTTATTATTATTATTATTATTATTATTATTATTATTATTATTATTATTATTATTATTATTATTATTATTATTATTATTATTATTCGTAGTAGTAGTAGTAGTAGTAGCAGTAGGGCCAATGAGTGCTCACTCAAGGTAGCAAGGACAGATGTGCAAGCGAGATTACAGCTTACGCACTTATGGTTGTCCCTATTGACAGTCGTGACTAAAACGTCCGTTCTCAACGAGGTGAAGATATGTACGCCTGTATCTAGACATTTCAGGTTGTCGGTGTCTCTAGTTCCTCCTCAAAAGTTATGACACGCGATACATTATGGTCATCCAAAAGTGAATTACATATCTGCACGTCAGCATTCCGGGGCCACGTGACCTGGCCAGAAGTCACGTGATGCCACCGCCGTGAAGTTTGAATGAAATGCAGGGTTCTGCCTTACGTCGAGTACGTATCGCTATTCCGCTGGCGTCAGTGGATCGAAAGAACGCATAAAGTTTCGCAACATTCACTACTGTGGCTCTGGGATCGTCTAGCTCCCGCGAGAATGATGGGTAGAACGTGGATTTGCCTAATCTTCGTGCTTGTGGTCCCCGACCGCACTTGTGGTTTTGTTTCAAACGAAAAAAACTAACTGTTCTGAACTTAGTGACTCGCTTTGCATTGGTGATCTTAAAAGGTTAAAGTGGTGAAGCGTACCTGCCTGACATCTGCTTATTTTCATTTCGTGACAAAGCAGATTTAGGCCACGTGAAGCCAAACGGAGCCGAAAGTACGATAATTAGACAAATCCCTAGTCTACCCTTACAACCCACCATTCATATGCTCGCTGAAGCACCGTGAGTTGCAGCTCTCCCCACTAGTGTACTTATAGGAAACTCTATGGGGGAAGAAGGAAGGGGCAGCAACCTAAACCATGCTACTTCGCGGTTCTGACTATTGCAAGCCTAGAGTTTCCTAATATTGCCTTGAAGTAAAACTGACGCTGCGACGCGTTGTATGCATGGAAAGGCTCGTACATGTCGGATTCGGGTTGGCATCGTTCATAACGTATCGGATCCATGTTTGGCGAGAACCATTCTTTGCTTTTATTTCTCATTAAAGCGGTCCGACATGAACTGTTTTACAGCGAAAGCTGTTATGAGACCAAAGCTCAGGTCACGCGCGGCGCCGTAGTTGTCCGCCGCCGCCGCCACCGGTGTCCGTAACCACTATCGCGGTATAAGAAAAAAAAAAAACTTAGTACGAAGGACGTGCTCACAAACTTGCCTTGGGCAGGCTTAATGTCTGGAAGAAATCGCGTTAATATCAGTAATAAAGCGTTTTAGAACAGCACAATAACAACACGGCGACCCGCAATGTGAATAGCGTAACGAGTGAGTCGACCAATGCTCTAACTCATTACGAAATATTGTTTTTATTACCTTTTAACTGTGGCACACACCCACTTCAGGCCTAATTCCTCATCGTTGTCGGCCACGGTATGAACAATTAGCACAAAATTCCTTGGAATTGCTTAGCGGATACATCGCTTCCCTGAAGAATTACGATAAATAGCATAGCGTATGCTGTTGTACTACCCAGAAATCAATACTAATGCCGTAGCGGGTACCCAACAGGTGTCCTTGCAACAGCTACACAATTAGTGCTAGAAAAGGCTCTGAAAGGCCACTTCTAGCTTTCTCTGTGACTCTGCTGAGCCTTCCGCTCAGGTCTGGCGTCTTTTTTTTTTTTCGTAGAATTGCACAGAAGCAATTCTTATAAGACGACTGCATCTGTTTTGATGCGCAATTTTGATGAACGTGGCGAACGCCCGCATATGTTGGAGAGCGGGCGATTCGACATAAGTTTGTTCACTCTGCGATTGTATTTCACCTGGTTATTTCTTTCACCGTGAGCTTATACCCTTCAGGACAGTGAAATATTGTTTTGAAACGTGAAACGACTTAATGGAATGCGTTTATGAAACTTTTGTGTTATAAAAACCTTCATTCGCGCAATCGTGTCCCCTTTTGAGCCGAAGCCGCGCTCAACGCCGGCCAATGCAAGCCTCGCAGACATATGTCGCATGGACGGTGGCGCCAGATTTTCCTCTAGGTGTCATTGTGAGAAACTATGGGACTCTTCAAGTCATTATCGACGGCAACGTGCCGCTCATTCGATCGCGTCATGAATGACGTTTCTCCCACGTCACATCAGCTGAGCATGACCTGACCGATTGAAGCGTAATTGTCCTCTCCCGTTCAAAACAGATGGCACACACAATCAGCACCGAACATAGCGAGACATGATTGGGTGTGTTATAAAAAGCACCATTGTATGGCTCATTTCTTCCCACGCAATTTCATTTTCGTGAAGCGAGAACTTGAAGTGTGCAACATTGTTTGCATGTGCGGGTTCCGCACCCACAATCTTCTTTAAAAAATGTTTTTTTTTGTCTTTTGTGGAAAAAAAATAGTTTGTCTGAGTTTCTAAAGATCCTAGCGGGTGTCTTCGCGTGTAGGTAGATGCTTGAATTTGTACTTCGCGTTATGTTTAGTGCTGTGTTTGAACACAGCGTGGACTAGCACCTGATTAAGTGTATGTATCCGTGCGTGTTCGTGTGACGCGTCGTCGTGTGTGCGTTTGCGCATGCGCCTCTGTTTGTGCATGAGTGTGAAGTTGTTTGTGGCAGTTTGGTAGCGCTTTGTTTTTTCCTGTACGGGTGTTTAGTGCCGTCTTCTCTTTTATTCCCTTTTTTCTTGCATTGTTAGCATACGGTGGCTTACAGTGAAACTCGCATTTCTAGAACTCCGGTAGCTCTTTCTGTACCGCTCCCAGTGGGCATCGATATCACGCTTTTTATGGTTTCATGGACGACTTTTGACGCAAACTCTCCGTTCACGGACAGATAACTTGCCAGGGACGGCAGGGATCGAGTCCCTGCCGGCGGCAAGTTACATTTTCGTCCACTTTTCTTTCTTCCTATTTACATTAAAATGACTTTAAAATGACATTAAAACAAAGCAAAGGGGCCCTTAAATATACACTTCTCTCCTTTATTCATCGCGAGTATCTCGTTCTGGCAGACTTGATGCCTTCAAGTATTATGCGAGGGATTATTGGTCAGCTGCCAGCTCGTAATGAGACGACGTGCTACGTGAAGACGAGAGGCAAAATAAGTGTTTGACCCTCGCTGTAGTGGCTACTGGCGGCGCTGACTGACGCTCCCACGTTTTATTGAACGTATATACCTTCTAAAGTGGATAGAGTGATGACCACCCCCGTATATAGCTCAGTGGTAGAACATAAGACGCGTTATTCAAAGAACGCGGGTTCGGCCCCTGCCGGTGGCAACTTGTAGCTTCGTTCACTTTTCTTCACATTTACATTACAATTGCTCCTACTAGCATCCCCTATGATTTCGTTGCAATCATGGTACATTGATTCTCACTAATACCGAATATTAAACTTCGAAATTTATGTCACGTAACATATATCTCGTTAATGAAATTTCTATGAATGAAAAGCTCATAGTTTTTTGTTTATGCTTATGTACTACATAAAATATTAGGTGCAGTAGTTCCTTCAGCAAAAACATCTATTGCAACTTGCAGAAAAACACCCATTTCCTTGGTGTAAAGGAAAGAGTTCAGTCCATCAGTCTATCTTTTGCTTTTGTAGATTTTTTTAATTACCATCTGGTTTTATCCGCGAAACGCTTTGTTTATTTGACTGCGCTGACATCTAAGAACACACTTATGTCATTGTGAAAGTGTTGTTGTTTATAGCTCAAAAACAGGCTCATACACGAAGAACATGCTTAAGAAAACCATTCGCATGAAAGTATTGGAAGAGTATGGCTGAAGAAAAATACTTACTGAGGGTGGCTGTTACACTACTGGTCCGTGGCTGGTATAAACAAATAACATGAATTCCCGGTGGCACAACTTTACTGGACCAAAAAATTACAAAAGCTTCGTGCACAGTGAAGATTCAAATGAAAAAACTCGCGCATTCTTTTGAGTTACACGATGTAGTCAACTTAAATTTCTCCTCCGTTTGCTGTCGAAACAGTCAAGAAAACGTCCTCTGTTATTTTTTGTTTGCTTGCCCCTGTGTGTGTGTGTGTGTGTGTGTGTGTGTGTGTGTGTGTGTGTGTGTGTGTGTGTGTGTGTGTGTGTGTGTGTGTGTGTGTGTGTGTGTGTGTGTGTGTGTGTGTGTGTGTGTGTGTGTGTGTGTGTGTGTGTGTGTGTGTGTGTGTGTGTGTGTGTGTGTGTGTGTGTGTGTGTGTGTGTGTGTGTGTGTGTGTGTGTGTGTGTGCGTGCGTGCGTGCGTGCGTGCGTGCGTGCGCGCGCGCGTGTGTGTCGACGGTGACCGAAGAATGGAAGCGCACATTTCATTAGAAGTAATAGGAACTGCACTTATTGATGACCACCTTAGCTTCAGTCACAATTTTTTTTTGCAACTAAAATAAAAATAACACTGGGTAGCATAAATGTGTTTATTCAGAATTTCTTATTTCAAAGTGTACAACATGCCAAGGTTATCGCACTTGTACTTCCCTAAGCGTGACATGCCGACGTACGTGGATGTTCGTCATCTGGCTTGACATCATCCAGTTCCACCATCTCATCCGGTTCCTCAATGTCGACACCGTTGACAAGTGGAGAGGTCACAGCAGTCTTTGTTCTCCAATCTGAGCTGTCTAGACGGCGATTCCAACAGTCAGTCAGTCAACACACTTTCAGGTCCTAAGGGTCCATTCGGGTCCTAATGGTCCTAACAAAATTTCGGGCCCTAAAAAATATACAGTCGTAGATCCCACAATTACGGAATTCCTCAATGTTCCCGGGAGTGACGCGTCAATCATCGTACGCAGGGGCCAGCAGCAAGACTAACAGCGCACGGCTGCCCATATGAGTGCAGCCACTTGCATTTATTCATGCTACAAGCGAAACGCGAACTGCAAGATTGCTGTGATACGCGATTTGACAGGCTCTCTGGGTGCAGGAACAGTTCACAATTTCTCAAAGGAGCCATCACACCCAGTTTTCGCTCATCTGTGTTAGCTGAGTGAACCCTTGTGTGTTCACAAGCATGGTGGAGGAATTTCAGGGCATTTGGTTTGGCACTTTATTTATAACGAGCATTTTTATAAACACGTGAGTGGCCCGAGTGTCAGGCGACACTGGTGCACCCGCCAGCCGTGGCGCAACAAGCCGCTTGCTATACGACCGTCTGTATTGCGGGAAACGATCGTGCTTTGTGGTCAGCTGTACATACAACTTTATTCAGCTTGAACGTTTCGCAGCGGCTGCAACTTAGGTAGAAGATGACGGATGCCCTCCATGAAGCACATGACTTCACACACGCCATGCAATATGGCGATCGCCATGCAGTGGTGGGCGGGGTCTAAAGACGGTGTCTTCTAAGGCTCATTTCGGAACGAAATATTCCTTTACAGACAGCTTTTTCATATATGTAGAGGCACAGCACATCCTCTACGTCTAGTTTTCGCTGAAAACAGCAATTTGGTGGGATACCGCATTATGGCCCCTTTGAAATTAAACAATATTGTTTCACTTCACAATATTTCTCTTCAGTAAGCAGTCGTGCAAACCATCCGTCTTTTTCCCGATGCCACGACGCATTCACCTTTGTCCTACAATGCGCAAGTCGCAAAGCACCTCTTGATCTCGAAAGGTGTAGTTCTGGCCATACCAGTTGTACCAGCCCCCATCAAAGTGCTACCTAAGCGGCAGAAAGCCGCTCTGGAAATTTTCATAGTTCAAACGTACATAAGTTCGAGCTAGTCGGTTTGGCACGGTCAAGAAAGCCATAGAGCTGAAAAGACAAAAACCAAGGAGGAGGACAAGACATGAGCACGTCCTGTCTTCTTTCTAGGCTCTTGTGTTTTCAGCGCTATGGCTCCACTGAATGTTCATACTACAGGCGTTGTAAGCAAATGGTAAATAGATGCTGGGGTCTTTTAGCAAGTTTCGGAAATACGGTATGCATGTACCGTGTGGTATGACGGTACCATTTCTCCTTTTCTAGTCGTTGACGTTTGGCCAGTGAGTGCGCAATAACAACACAAACGTTTTTTTTTTTCAAAAATTACTGTGGGTTTTTCACGCCTTGTTGTTATGTGTCAGCTTACGCATTGATAACCAGGAACCTGTCGTCAGGGTGACACACTGTCAATTCAAGTGCGAGTGGCTTAAGCCCACCGATGATTTCCGTACACCGCATTTCAGTAACTTGCTAAAAGACTGTGTGCGTTTGTGACGCACTAAAGCGTATGAGACGAAATTGGACAGATATGATGCTCTCCATGAGGAGAACTAGAAAGCGTAGAAGCTGCATACGTTCGTCACTTCTTGTAGGCTTGGGAAGCCACCGCACCTCCTAGTTTCACCAATTGATCTCTGATGTGTGAAGAGATTCGAACTTCGAACATTCCACACACTAGGGTGCCAAATACGACGATAAACCAGCCCGGCGTCCATTTGCACCGGCCAGGCACTCCTCTATCAGCTCTCCCCAGCCTTCAGGTTGATAGCAACACCACTTGGTGGTTCCGGGCTGCCTGCGGAAAGCTTCGGTGAAAGCATCGTTGTTTCGCAAAAGTGTCGATGCGGTCATCGGCCGATGATCTGCGGCTCATCGTTCAGTCCGGGGAGGCCCTTTCGTTTGCGCGAGCACACTATGAAGGTGAGCCCGATGACGACGTACAGGCAGAAGGTTATCCAGGAGAAGTAGTAGGAGAAGCCGAAGTTCCAGCGGCAACCCTTGGGCAGCCGGGAGGACAGGTAGCGCTCCTCGTAGGTGGCCGAGTTGTTCTCCACCTCCATCACCACCATCATCACGCCGGCTGCAAAAATATGAAAAGTGGAATCCAAGATTGTGTTTTAAAGATAGTTGAACGCGAAGCTCTGACCCATGCAAACAGTATGAAAGCTCAAAGCCAACGGCCATGCGACAAACCCAAGGAATGCTGAGCTACTCGATGCGCTGCACATGACTTCATTGCTTGTTTGGAGCTATTCTTTAGAGACCCCGCCATCATAACTTCGCCAACTCCCAATGCAAGCTTCCTATGACATCACTAACGGTTACATGCACCTTCTCGTGCCCTAGGGCCTACGCGAGCTGAACACAGCGCAGGAGCGAGTGGTTGCACATTGAGTGCGGTTCATGTGCATCGGGTACCTGACTGACAGTTGTCAGTCCACCACGTTAGTCCAGTGGTTATATGCTGCTCGGCTGCTGACGCGCAGGTCGCGGAATTGCATTCTCGCCAAAACGGTCGCATTTTCGAACGAGGCGAATATGCTAAAGGCCCGTGTACTTAAAATTAGGTGCTCATTGAAGAACTCCAGGTGCACGGTCATAATTTACGGAGCGCTCCACTATGGCGTCTCTCATAATCATATCGCGGTTTTACGACGTTGAACTTCAACAATTATTGTTATTAAAGGTGCTTAAGCGTTAGGAGTGTGCAACATCACTGCCGTTTTCGGATCCCTTATAAGGCTATCGTTGCGCACCACCTGTACTTTCTTTAGTGCTAGCTGAAGACACAGTCAATCTCGCTTCCTGCACTCCGGCTCAAGTATCGAGTCCTTCGATCAGTAGAGGTCACTTCCTATCGAGATACCTACGCATTCTCTCTTCCTGATGTGCATCTAGCTCTCCTGGTTCACAAACAAAACAATAAAACAGAAAACAATGCAGACCACTCTTCTCCGCAGATGGGCATCGGTGGAGCCCCGAAATCGCCGTCCGAAAAATGTGATGCTCGCTACGCGCAGTATTTGTCAATGCCTCCGGGTTACAACACTGGCTCCGAGCAAACACGGCCCTGGCATCATTCGAGGGCACCCACGTGCATTGGAAGACTGCCAGTTCTCCCTGTTATTGCTTTTTTTTTCTTTTTTCTGCCCCCGGGAAAGACATAGGCAACAATCTGTGCATTGCGGCAGCCCTGCAACTCGATGAATGGGTCTTGTGGTAGCGATGCATTAACTGGAGCACTCTCCGAATAAATTTTTCTCAACTCTTTCGAGCTTGTCGTTTCTCCCGAACAATAAGCATATATATTGAAGGTAGTCAGTGCGCATATATATTCAGTGTATTTAGTGCATATATATTGTCACGGGGTCGTGACGTGGCCGAAGACAGGAGACTTCTTGTTGGAATTTAACTGTTTATTTGGGCGAACCTGTGCCCGGTAAACAGAAAGTCCAATTACAGCAGCTGTCTCGCACAGATAGCAGTCTCAGACTGATAGCGGCGAACGGAGCGTCGGCCTTCGATCAACAACTGACAAGCGGCGAAGCGCGTCGGCATTTATACTCCCGCCGTCGAATGTTCTAGCGCTATCGCTGGCGGCGGCGTGCGTTCCAGAACAATCTGTACCATTCGCACAGTGGGCGTGATCTTATCGAAATGATCTACTACAGTCCGGAACCCTCTAGAAAACTGCAGGCGCGGTTTGCGCTGAGAATCGTGTGGTGTTTTGGGACGATAACAAAAACTTGGGAAATGGAACGTGGCATTGCCCCCCTCTGAAAAAGGCATCGTCTCGATGCTTTAACTAAAGATGAAGGTGCAATAATAATGCAGGAAAGTACAATGAATAAATTACGATACAACAATAATGCAAAAAAACACTGGTTCAGTTTGTTAACGCGCATGAAACGGCTTGAGGCGCGCGACATGGACGACTTCAGGTCGCGATCGGCGTCGTTGAGAGTTCGTAATGCCGTCGGGGACAACCTCGTAATCAAGTGGGCCGAGACGTCGAACCACCCTGTACGGTCCGAAGTACCGTCGCAGAAGCTTTTCACTTAGTCCACGTCGGCGTATCGGCGTCCACACCCAAACACGTTCACCGGGCTGGTATTCCACGAAGCGTCGTCGAAGGTTGTAACGGTGGCTGTCGGTCGTCTGTTGATTCTTGATACGGAGCCGCGCAAGTTGTCGGGCTTCTTCGGCGCGATGAAGGTACTCGCTCACATCGAGGTTTTCTTCGTCGGTGACGTTGGGTAACATGGCATCGAGCGTCGTTGCCGGGCTCCTTCCGTAGACCAATTTGTATGGAGATATCTGCGTCGTCTCCTGCACCGCCGTGTTGTATGCGAAGGTCACATACAGAAGAATGGCATCCCACGTCTTGTGTTCGACATCGACGTACATTGACAGCATGTCGGCGATCGTCTTGTTAAGCCGCTCGGTGAGGCCGTTGGTCTGTGGGTGGTACGCTGTCGTCCGGCGGTGGTTTGTTTGGCTGTATGCCAAGATCGCTTGAGTTAAGTCGGCAGTGAATGCCGTTCCTCTGTCGGTGATAAGGACCTCCGGGGCGCCGTGACGTAGGACGATATTTTCGACGAAGAACTTAGCTACCTCGGATGCACTGCCTTTTGGCAGGGCTTTTGTCTCGGCGTAGCGGGTGAGGTAGTCGGTGGCTACCACGATCCACTTGTTTCCGAAAGCCGACGTCGGGAACGGCCCCAATAGGTCCATACCAATCTGCTGAAAAGGTCGGCAAGGTGGATCAATTGGCTGCAGAAGTCCCGCTGGCCTTGTCGGCGGTGTCTTGCGTCGCTGACAGTCCCGGCATGTCCTCACATAACGAGTGACGTCGGTTGTAAGACGCGGCCAGTAGTACCTTTCTTGTATCCTCGCGAGCGTACGAGAAACACCGAGGTGCCCTGCCGTCGGATCGTCGTGCAGGGCCTGCAGGAGTTCTGGTCGCAGAGCTGAAGGCACCACAAGGAGATACTTAGCCCGAAGCGGTGAAAAGTTTTTCTTTTGTAGAAGACCGTTTCGTAGAAAAAACGACGCAAGTGCGCGCTTGAATACCTTCGGGACTTCGGCGGTCCTGCCTTCGAGGTATTCTATTAGGGCCTTAAGTTCCGGGTCGGCCCGCTGTCGTTCAGCGAAGTCGTCGGTAGTTATCGTTCCCAAGAAGTAGTCGTCATCCGGGTCGTCGGGTAGCGGTTGGTCGACAGGCGCACGAGAGAGACAGTCGGCGTCGGAGTGTTTTTTGCCGGACTTGTAAATGACAGTAATGTCATATTCTTGAAGTCTCAGGCTCCATCGTGCGAGGCGACCTGAAGGGTCCTTCAAAGTGGCTAGCCAACACAAGGCGTGGTGGTCGCTCACAACTTTGAAGGGCCTGCCGTAGAGGTATGGGCGAAATTTCGACGTAGCCCAGATGATGGCGAGGCACTCCTTTTCTGTTGTGGAATAATTTGCTTCTGCTTTGGATAGCGATCGGCTGGCGTAACTAATAACCCTTTCAAGTCCGTCAGCCCTCTGCACAAGAACGGCGCCAAGACCTACGCTGCTTGCGTCAGTATGTATTTCTGTCTCGGCGAATTCGTCGAAATGGGCAAGTAACGGAGGCGTCTGGAGGCGATGTTTAAGCTCCTGGAAAGCGTGTTCCTGTGGCGTTTCCCACTTGAACTCCACGTCGGCCTTGGTAAGGTTAGTGAGAGGATCGGCGATGCGGGCGAAGTTTTTCACGAACCGCCTATAATAGGCGCACAGGCCCAGAAATCGGCGCACGGCTTTCTTGTCAGTGGGCGGCGGGAATTCGGCGATGGCGGCTGTTTTCCGTGGATCAGGACGAACTCCAGACTTGCTGATAACGTGCCCCAGAAACAAGAGCTCTTCATACGCAAATCTGCACTTTTCTGGCTTCAGTGTGAGTCCGGAAGTCTTGATGGCTTGAAGTACAGCTTCAAGGCGCCGAAGATGCTCGTCGAAACTCGAAGAAAACACGACGACGTCGTCCAAGTACACAAGGCAAGTCTGCCACTTCAATCCTGCCAGTACTGTATCCATAACGCGTTGAAAAGTTGCAGGCGCTGAGCAAAGGCCGAAGGGCATCACCTTAAACTCGAAGAGGCCGTCCGGTGTTATAAACGCCGTCTTCTCTCGGTCTCTTTCGTCGACTTCGATTTGCCAATAGCCAGTCTTGAGGTCCATTGACGAAAAGTACTTGGCGTTATGGAGCCGATCAAGTGCGTCGTCTATTCGTGGGAGAGGATACACGTCTTTTCTTGTGATTTTGTTCAGGCGGCGATAATCGACGCAGAAACGTAGGGTCCCATCCTTTTTCTTCACTAACACCACGGGGGATGCCCATGGGCTGTTGGACGGCTGGATAATATCATCCCGCAGCATTTCATCAACTTGTCTCTTGATGGCCTCACGTTCTCGCGTCGAAACCCTGTACGGACTCTGACGGAGTGGTCTGGCATTTTCTTCGGTTATGATGCGATGTTTCGTGATTGGGGTCTGCCGAATTTTCGATGACGACGAAAAGCAATCTTCGTATTGCAGGAGCAGGGCCTTGAGCTGTTCTTGCTTATCGTTCGGAAGTCTGGGATTGACGTCGAAAGCTATGGGAGGGGCTTGGTTCCTCTGAGCAGGTCCCGCAGAATCGGCGAGGGCGAAAGCACTGGTGGCTTCGACAATTTCTTCGATGTATGCGACCGTTGTTCCTTTGTTAACATGTTTGTACTCATTGCTGAAATTTGTGAGCTTTGCCTCCCCGCAACTCTGCAATTCCTCTTGCGACGCAAATATTTCGGGTGACCAACAGATGCTGACTGCCTTCAACGACGCCTTCGAAGTCAGGTGATTCAGGAGCGCCGACTGAAATAATGACGCTTGAGCGAGGCGGAATGGTGACTTGTTCTTCCAGCACATTCAAGGCATGGTGTCTAGACGGCGTGCGCGGCGGTAGTGCTTCTTCTGTGGATAACGTTATCGACTTTGTTTTTAGGTTGATGACAGCACCATGGAGGCATAAGAAGTCCATGCCAAGGATGACATCTCTCGAGCAACGCTGTAGGACTACGAAGTCTGTAGGATAAATACGGCCGTTAATGGTGACTCTCGCTGTGCAGATTCCTGCAGGCGTTACGAGATGACCTCCGGCTGTGCGGATTTCAGGGCCTTTCCAAGCTGTCCTAACTTTCTTTAACTTCGCGGCGAACGACCCACTGATGACAGAATAGTCGGCTCCAGTATCGACGAGAGCGGTCACACTGTAGCCGTCGATAAGAACGTCGAGGTCGCTAATTCGCCGTCTCGCATTACAGTTAGGGCGTGGCGTCGGGTCACGGCTGCGTCGACTTGTTCCGCTGCTTTCATGTTGCGTCGTCAGGCCACCTTCGGTAAGTGAGCTTTCGTCGTCAGGGCTTTGCCTGGTTGGCGTTGTGTTCGGAAAGCTCCGTCGCGGCGTCGTCGGAGGATCTTCGGTAGTTCGTCGCACAGCAACCGCACCTCCACCGGTTGCTGCCCTTAGTTTCCCGGATACGGGCTAGGAGACCGGCCCCGCGTTGGGCCAGAGTACTGTCGGTGGTGCGGTGATGTGCGGCGGCTGGGCGACGGCGAACGCGAAGGGCTTCGTGGTGTCCACCGAGTTCCTGTCAGGTAGTCGGCGATGTCACGTGGTCGTTCTCCTGGCTGTGGGCGCGGTGCATTGACGGCGAAGCCACGCAATCCCATCTGTCGGTACTGGCAACGGCGGTATGTGTGTCCGGCCTCGCCGCAGTGGTAGCAGAGCGGGCGATGGTCAGGGGTGCGCCAGACGTCAGTCTTCCTCGGTGCACTGCACTGGGCCGCTGGCGAACGGTATGACGTCGGTGGGGGTGGTGGCGGCGGTGGCGTCTGTCGACGGAAGTGCGACGGGGCGGCGTTTTGGCGTGGACGGGGAGTAGCGTTGTGGCGCAGTGCAGCGGCGTAGCTCATAGCTTCCGGCTCGGGCAGCGGTGCGTGGGGAATTTGAAGCGATTGCCGAACTTCTTCTCGCACAATGTCGGCGATCGAATCCACTTGAGGCTGCGCCGAAGGCAACAGCTTGCGCAGCTCTTCCCGCACGATCGCTCGGATCGTTTCACGCAGGTCTCCGGAGTTAATGGCTTGAGCAGCAGCGCAGTCTGCAGTCAGGCGACGATTATACTGTCTGGTGCGCATGTCCAGGGTCTTTTCAATAGTGGTCGCTTCGGCTACAAATTCTTGGACGGTTTTCGGTGGGTTTCTCATCAGCCCCGCGAAGAGCTCCTGTTTGACCCCTCGCATGAGGAAACGAACTTTTTTCTCCTCAGGCATGTCTGGGTCAGCGTGACGGAATAGTCGGGTCATTTCTTCTGTGAAAATGGCGACATTTTCATTTGGTAGCTGAACCCGGGTCTCTAATAAAGCAGCGGCCCTCTCTTTTCGAGCGACGCTCGCGAACGTTTGCAGGAATGCGCCGCAGAAAACATCCCACGTTCGGAGCGTGGACTCCCGATTTTCGAGCCAGGTCCTTGCGGTGTCTTCTAAATAGAAGAACACACGACGCAGCTTTTCGTCATGGTCCCAGTGGTTGAGGGCGGCCACACGGTCGTATGTCTCTAGCCAGGACTCCGGGTCTTCGAACGATGACCCATGGAAAATTGGTGGTTCCCTGGGTTGATGCATGACCATCGTGGGCTGGGACGCTGCGGTTGTCATTGTCGCTGCAGTCGCGGTCATCGCCGTGGTCTTCCGCGGCTTGTCGTGTAGAAGCCCGTACTCCGGTGGTAGCCCTTGCTGTCGGCGGCTTGTTCGCTGCTCCTGGTTGGCGTCGGTGTCTTCTCCGCGACGTGGACTGGGTTCACGGCTTGACGGGGGCGTCCGGTACATGAACGAAGCAGCACCTCCACCAAATGTCACGGGGTCGTGACGTGGCCGAAGACAGGAGACTTCTTGTTGGAATTTAACTGTTTATTTGGGCGAACCTGTGCCCGGTAAACAGAAAGTCCAATTACAGCAGCTGTCTCGCACAGATAGCAGTCTCAGACTGATAGCGGCGAACGGAGCGTCGGCCTTCGATCAACAACTGACAAGCGGCGAAGCGCGTCGGCATTTATACTCCCGCCGTCGAATGTTCTAGCGCTATCGCTGGCGGCGGCGTGCGTTCCAGAACAATCTGTACCATTCGCACAGTGGGCGTGATCTTATCGAAATGATCTACTACAGTCCGGAACCCTCTAGAAAACTGCAGGCGCGGTTTGCGCTGAGAATCGTGTGGTGTTTTGGGACGATAACAAAAACTTGGGAAATGGAACGTGGCAATATTGATTGAGCCTGCAGTATATTCCAATAAATTTCGTTATACCTCTCGTCCTTTCCCGCTCAAGATCACTATGCCACGCTCGTACGCTCGCGCCGTTTGGGACCTTAAAACACTGGGAGCACGTCATTTAAAATGAAGAGGAGAAAATAAAGGTCATGCAGGAAGGTTAGCCAATTCTCAGACCAGCTGGATACCCTGTTATTCAAAACAAACAGGCTGAATTCATAAAGCTTCGCTTTCGTAACTCCATTTTCATATTAGTCCACCGGTTTCATGAATGATATTGCCCGCATTGTAATTTGCTTTAATATTTTCAGGAGGTTCTTGGCATTAGATGTTTCTTTGAATACGGGCCATGGCGTCTTTTCATAAAGGGGTTAATGTAACGAGGTTGAACTAGGAACTAATAAACCACTTAAAGTTGATAGGTTAGTGTTCATTAAGTAAGTGTAAATACGTATGCCTCTCAAAACTGGCTGAATTGAGCACGTTCCGGTCGCATAAAAACTTGCATTCGAATATATTTCATCCCCCCGCTAAGCTCAATGGAGTTCGAGTGGTTACTTTGATATTTTTACTGACAACAACTTACCAGAGTCCAAAATTTATTAGCAAAATATATCCAGAAAAAATAGTTCAAAGCAAATGTTGCACATGTATGGGCATCATTAGCCTGGATCATATGCTCTGGCAGTGGCCTGTGTTTTTTCACAAACCGGGAAAAGGAAAGAGGCTGGTGGCAAAGTGTTTGTCCCAGTGGATATCTTATATCATGGCCTCTAGAAGGCCCAGGTGCGGCGGTAAGGTCAGTACACGTGTTCATGATTCCTCGTGTAAAATAAATTGTCAGCAGCTACAAGCGGCTGCCGATTAATTGAGGGTTAATTTTCAAAACCAGTATAAAGTTAATCGTACCCGACAAACAAACTGCACAGCAGTGTAGTAACCATGAGCACTGACACAACAAACAGACGCACCCGGAACAACTTTTAGTTGCAGCTGCCCAATAAGTGTTACCAGAATGAGCTGAATCTAGTAGGGCACGGAAATACACGTACAATACGCAAGTGACAATTGGACGACGCGTAAATCGATTCGCTCTTCATGTGACACTAAACATAGAAACCCGTTATTTTCGTGTAAGAAATGTGTCGTGTGTTTTTTTTCATTTGTCATGCATACAGAATTATATCGGGCAAACCGGCAAATGCCTAAACAACCGTCTTCGTGAGCATTCGAGAAATTATCTAAATACCTTAGTCAGCATTGCAGGACTTGTGGTTGCGCACCTTTACCGGATGACTGCATCGTCATTGTCACTAGAAGACAACCTGCGAGACTATTGAGGCCATCGAAATAGCAAATCGGGAGCTTCTTGTATCAGCACGGTGTCTATAGACTTAACGGGAAAAGTTTGTATATCCTCAAACAATACGCCGTGACACGCCTCTGCACGTGCCAATGTGTAGCATTTCACTCGCTCTAATCAATGTGCCCTCGCCTCCTACAGTTCTTGTTTCACTCGACTTGTTTTGCCGGCCCAGCCAGTTCTATTAGCAGCTGCACACACACTGGTGAACGTATATGTTTCACTTCTGCCTTAGTAACATTCTGCAAAGGCCATCGTCCAGTCACCACCTGCTCCGTCCATTATTTTATTTTGTTTGTTTATTGTGTCACAATTTCCTCGATATGCCACCACCAGCAAGACCATTCTTACGTTCTTTCATGTAGCAGAATGTATCGGAATATCGGCCCCGCATACAGCCTTACCGCTGATGAAGTGCACTCCCCCGGCGAGCCTCTTGAACATATAGCGGTGCTCCTTGAAGGTGTACACCGAGAAACCGATGGCCATGAGCAGCATGACCAGGCTCAGTGTGCAGAAGGCCACTTCAGAGCGGGTGTACTCTGCGAGGGTGGGGCCCGCAGGCCCAAGACGAGTTATACATTTAGTATATGGTCCCTGTCATGTTGGCTTTAGTACTCGTAGTCGTTCCCAGCTCTCCCTCAAGTGAAGACTTTCATATACTCACACTGGCATCAGACACACGCTCACTGTCCCCGCCAAAGTGACGCCAAAGTGAGACAACGATTTGGTTTCGATGGATAAATTGTACTCGGACAACTCTAACGCCGTTAATTTTGTCATCATGATTTATTAATAGAAGAGAAAATTAAGGTTAAAATTTCGTTTTTAAATACTGCGACGAAATCTCGACGTGTGATGTTGTGCATTTCAAAGTGTATTTTTTCGTATTCTTCATGGTGACATATGCTAAACTGAATTTCCTCAAACGATAGTGTGTTCACTCTATGCCTACTCAGGAGAAAATGCACTTCATTTTTGTTGCTTGGGAACTACGTAGAACCGTACAAAAACCGCAACGTCATAACGTCGGACGGGCAGGGGCAAGGGGGTAGACGTTGGAACGCTCTTTTCAATTTTGTTAGTGTTTTGTAGCACACCAAGCGTTCTCTCTCAGCAAGCGTGGTGTTTTCAGTAAAGTGAAAAAGTAGGTTACCAAAAAAATATTTCTTTTTTGTGTATCTTTAACTCTAAGCCGCACTAGACCAGGATAGGACCATCTCCCTCTGGCACGAAACAATATCCTTGGGCACGGCCCTATTCGGTCGTCAATGCGAGCCGCTTTGAGGGTGCTGTTGCCGTTTCTTCTAAAGACCAAACTAAAGGAAAACTTGCGATTGTCTACGGACGATATCGGCACGCTGCATAGGTTGGCGATCTCCTTCATGAGTCGACTCACTCAGACTCACACAGACTCGTGTCAAGCCGTGAGTCTGAGTTTAGTCTGTGTACATATACACCCTGTAAAAGTGGACGCAGGAATGACCGCCACCGTAGCGCAGTGGCAGAGCATCGGACGCGTTATTCGAAGGCCGCAACTTGGGTCCCTGCCGTTACAAGTTATATTTCCGTACACTTTTTCTTATTCACTTCTACATTACAATTACTTCTAATAACATCGCTTGCACTTTCCTTCGCGTCATTGTGAGCCCTTTAAAGTTACTTCACTCCTTCATGAAAGCTCCACAATTTTAGCCGGCCTATGGCGTGCAATATTTGAAAGGTGCTTTAATTACTACTTTGTAGTGTCGTCCCAAGCCCTTCTTCTTTTTGTCTTTTGCACCCTCTCCTCTTCCCAAGTACAGGGTATCGAACTGGAGGCTTCTTATGGTTAACCTTACTGTCTTTCCTTTATCACGCTTTCTCTCTCTCGCGCGCGCGCGTCATTACACTGTAATTAAGTTGTGGGGTCTTACTTTCTTCTTTTTTTCAACTTCTTGGTGATGTTAATGCTTGTTCGTTTTTAAATATGTTATTGCGTGTTTAGGAAATATTATTACTTGTTCTTTTTTTAATAACACCAATGATCCTGTGTGTTATGTGAGCTTGTGTCGTAGGACATACAAAAAATCACTGCCCATCCACAGAGTGAATAATGATAAGTGGGGTGAAGCTTCTAAGGGTTTTATGCCCAAACTGTGAATCGTCCACTGGCCCTGTCCGGCCGGCGACAGAAAGCTAAGCGTCACTGCACTGCACAAGTTAACGCTAAGGTAAAGACAAGTTTATATTTGCACTCACATTTAGGCAATCAGTTTCTATGAGCTCGCAAATCAAAAAAATTTCACTTGACACTTTCTGAATCTCTGTAGGGTCTACTGAAAGACACATCACCACAGTTTTCGCTTTTATGGCAATAAATCTTTATTCGGTGCATTATCTCTTTGTGGGTCTTCTCTTTACTTGAGCATTGTTATTGTCTTTAAGACAAGAAAACAAAGCCTAAGATGAAAGACCAATCTACGTGTCATACCAGTGCCACACGGCTACTTTTGAGCACGATCCGGGATTATCTTGTTTAGGCTCGATCGGATTGTGTGCTTCTACACCGTCCTTTTAATCCCTATCAGGCCATATTGGGATCAAGACGATCGTGGTTAGGCTGACGTCTGTGACGTCCGAGCCAAACTCAATCCGGATTTTGCGGGTACTGTGCAGTCGTGACCAACTTGTTGACCACGATCAAGAAGTCCAATCCGGGTGAACGCTGTTCGCGATCAGAAGTGCCCCAGTGACTCCGGAATTAGATGTACTCGCTGTTAAAGGACCAGGTGAGATCACCTACCAAGAATTGTGCGGTCGATTTCCATGTCTTGCCGGATAGCCTCTTCTGACGGGAACACGCTGAAGAACGAGCATGAGCCTGGAAGATTCGAGGAATAAGAAAAAAATAAGTTTTTCGAAAAACTCAAGGCCCCTTCTGCATTCGCTCAAGACGACTTCAAGGGCGAAAGGCGTCTTCTTGTCTTTGTTCCCAGTCGGCGTCATGCCGAACGCCCTTCCCCCTTCCTCCTGAAGCTTCCTGCACCAAAAATGTTTTTGCACCTCCTTCCCGATGGGCTTAACTTTTCTCGAGCGACAATGGCATGTGATGACGTCATTTTGTGACGTCATAGTGACATCGTTATGACGTCACTTGGTAACGTTATCATGTGATGATGATTTTTGTATCACTCATGTTGACGCCGCTGATGTCGACACCGGCGGTCAGTTTTCACGTTTTATGAGGCATATTAGGTTTTCACCTCAATGTCACTAGTATTATGCGGAATGGAAGCATGCCGTTGGAACCATAGTTAATTATAAGTGTATCCGGGCGCAAGAGAGCGGGAACTTTATTGAAGGCTTAGCCTTCCCTCATGTCTTTTAAGAGCGAAGTTATTAAAGCTCAAGCTGAAATGTCGGGTGTCCGCAAAGACCGTCCGTGTACTTGCTTATGAATTTTCAAGGCACAGCTGTCTAACCTGGCACAGCCTAGCAGCTCCAAGTAGTAATGCCGAGGAGCAGCCTCTACCAAGCCACGCCCACAGACGGAGACAGTGTGCGCAACCTCCGCGCCAGCTGTGCCCTTCGTGGCGAAAGCTTACTGCGAGTGACTAAATGCACCACAGCCAGGTTTTGCGCGATAGCTTCTGGCGCTTGAGTTTGCACATTCTTGCATGGTCTGTGACAAGCTGTGGTTCGAGTCTACTTTGTTTACGCCGGGGAAAGACCTAGCATCAACTAAGAAAAATCCGAGATCGAACAGCCTTGCTCTTTCTTAAGTTTCACACAGCCAGTGCAAACTTCTTTTCTTTGCTTCCTCCCCCAACAGTCCCCCTATAACCTGAAAGTTCTAACGGCGGCAGCAAGTGCTGACCTAAATTTAGAGAAGAAACTGAGAAATGGGCAACTGTAATTCACTCACTCTGACGATAGTTATAGCGCGAGAACAAAACGACGACACAGAGACAAGACTTCTTGTCTCTGTGTCGTCGTTTTGATCTCGCGCTATAACTATCGTCATGCCATACCAACTAGCCCAAGCTGCCACACTTCTAAGTCACTCACTATGTTCGGCTCCGGGCGTGCCATTGGGCATCGCCGGCGCAGTGGTGCGGCACATCCGGAAGAGGCCCATGTTGGCGTGAAAGAAGAAGCTCTTGGTGCGGTTCACGTACACGGGCCCCGACTCGGGTGCCACCACGGTTATCCACTGCTCGGTGCCGATGCAGATGATCCACATGAACAAGCCCAACATGGCGGCTAAGGTGGCCCACAAGAGGGCGCGTCGCTCACTCTGTAGAACCGCCTTGGGATCCTCTTCCGGCCCGGCAGCGGCCTCCTCGAAGCGACGCTCGCGTCGCTTCCGGCGGCTGCTCTTCTTGCTGGTCCGCGACTTCTTCGAGGAACCCATGACTCACAAAGGAGGAGTCTACAAGGGCAGACCACGCAGACACAAGATGGCGACAGTGCAGGCGAGTTTCGTAAGGCTGCACGCAAGTGCACCACACACACAGCCACAACACGAGGAGATTACGAGTCCTAGGGATGTGCAAAAGCGGACGACACACGCACCAGACGATACACCTGGTGAATAAACCGCAAGACGTTGGTACACTGTACAGACTTACGACACACGACTATACCAGGTGACTCAACACTAAGACTGCGCGACTATAGACTGCTAGCACATCATATGACAACACCTGACTACTAAACCACAGGACTACAATCCAGTAGATGGCACAACACGACAATCGCAGATTACGATACTGCGAGGCTGTACAGTAGTAGAACACACATACACGCAAGACGGCGATTCTAGACGACTAAACCATCGGGCTGTACACGAGTGCACCACACACAAGCCATACGACAATTCCTGGTGCAACTGCAAGGCTATCCAAAACTGGAGCGCATAAACACCATAGGAAAATACGAAATCGCGGAACCGTAGGGCTGTAGACTGCACAAGCAACAAGTCACGACACCTGACAACTAAACTGTAGAGCTACACGCAAGTACTCTGCAAACACGCTCCAGCTGACAATACCTGGTGACTAAGCAGTCAGGCAAAACATGTAGATCGCACATCCACCACACAGCACAAGAAGACGATACAATTGTGCAGTGCCGACGTAGCTAGTTCAGAGTGGCATGATGACTCCGATTATGGCTGCAGACTCGTTTCTATTTATTTCCTTTTGTATAGGATGGCTGTCAATGAACAAAATAAGGCACGCGCTGTTAGCGGTGATCAGCTTTCGGGGTCCACATTTTCACAGGTGCCACAGTCGAATTCCCGATGCATTTAGGGTCTGTCTGCATTACAAAAAAGGCGCGCACCTAACGATACACACTTGTGACTGTATTCTTTACGATAAATTGAAATTTCTGTGGTCACAGGGATGACAACAGCGCGCGATTTCACGCTGGTCACCACAAGAAAAGGCCAGTATATTTACCCCTGCAGCTGTGACAGTCGCGCGTGGGTAGCAACACTATCTGCTCTACAAACTACCAACTGAATAAAAAAAAAAAACTCTGCGCATATATTTTTTTAGTTCGTACTTCTTTTCGGTGTAACTGGTGCTACGGATTTGCCAACGCAAAGTGATGCATCGGATTTGAGAGGTGGCTTAAGTTGAAGCAGGACCTTGTGTGTCAGTTTAAAAACGCTTAACAAGGCTATCCTTGTGACACATGTAGCATACAAAAAGTTCAGAAAAAGAAAGCTTCAGAAATTTATCCCACCGTTCCAAACAACATTGAATTGACAACACCCTGAACCCTACGGTAGTAGAAAATAAGGAATGAATTCTGACGGTATCTCGCCCAACACCTTGGTATTATTGCTTAAGTGTTATCCGTAGTTTATTTGCAAAGTCTCTGTCTCAGGGCACAAGAATCGTCTCTATAGAATCAATGGCTAGGATGAAGTCGAATCCATTCACACGACTATACAAACGTATTCCATCAGCTTCAATATAACAGGCCTGGCGGGTCTGCCCATTTCTTGCTCCTGTGAGACTTGCTGTAGAAACGGTTCCACAGCTCCGAGATTACGCCATGCTGCACATAAGAAAAGTATGAAATATTTATACATACATACATACATACATACATACATACCATACATACATACACATACAATACATAATAATACATACATACATACATACATACAATCATACATGAGCATGCATGCATGCATGCATACATACATACATACATACATACATACATACATACATACATACATACATACATACATACATACATACATACATACATACATACATACATACATACATACATACATACATACATACATACATACATACATACATACATACATACATACATACATACATACATACATACATACATACATGCACACGCACGCACGCACGCACACACACACACACACACACACACACACACACGTACGTACGTACGTACGTACGTACGTACGTACGTACATACATACATACATACATACATACATACATACATACATACATACATACATACATACATACATACATACATACATACATACATACATACATACATACATACATACATACATACATACATACATACATACATACAATAAATTTTCTACGAAAGAAACACAAAACAGAAGCAGGCCAATTTGTTGGTTAACTGCCCATGAACACGCGAACGTGGTATATCATAGCGGGGCTTTTATACAAGAAATTCATTGAACATTTTCAGCCTATCAACAAGGATATCAGCCAATCATGATGCGTAACATATCATTGGCAAAGGATACCTACCAATCGTAAAACAGACTTTAAAAAAAATCGCTAGATCCCACATACTACTGGAATCGATGTTATGCGAAGTGTGTGGTGGGAAGGTGACCATGGCGTAATTTCTTTATTCAGCGAAGCGTTCCGAAATGAAGGTAATGATATGTACAAAAGCTGTACGCACTGGCACAACAGTCGCGTATGTTTTACAGAACCAGCTGTATGCAGTTACGTAGCGGCGCCAACAGCAACATGGGCATTACCAACACTGGAAGCGGTATCCTGATGTCTCGTGCTTGTACCTGCGAGGGTGGTGCCCCTTGATATATAGTGCTACTTAGACCATTCTGTGAATTACACCTGTATTTGTTTTTTCAGAGCAGTTTAATAGTTTACTAAAATGCTTTGTTGGGCACGTTGGTTCATTCTGCAGTAAATTTGTGCGCGAACGGACATCACACAAGAAGAGAAGATGACTACTTGTGCGCTCGCTATGCCAATAGTGAGCACGCGTTGAATACTTGGTGTGACTCCGCAGTAGAATACTTGATTGCCACGCAGAATCTTTGGGTTGGACTCCTGCTGAGAGTGTGATCTTTGCATTCGTCATGCCAATGCTGTCAACGTTGGTTTTTCTTAACTCTCCTGCATTTATATTACCAATGTCTCGCCGTTTCCGGATAGATACAAACTGTCAATCTCCTACATGTGGCGCACACCCGTATTCCACGGCCAGTGGCGTACGGCTATGTGCCACACGTGTCTGGAGGAAAAAGTTTTGACGACGTACGCGACGGGAGTTTGGTGTTATGCACGTTATGACCCGCCATACATATCCGTCAAACCCTCGTACCCCCGTGGTGAAAAGCAGTGCAAGTATACGAGACACTTAACGAAGAAAGCGCACGCCGTTCTTAACCAAGAGCCCACACCACCGCGTCCAGTTTTCAGTCCTCTTGTCTTCTCATACTAATTTTCGGTCTACCCGCTTTCACGGGGAAGTACCCACCCTGTGGGGAAAATGATTGTGACATTTTCTACATGGTGTGTGCATGACGAAAAACTCCAAACCTCACCGTTACACCCAACTCTTTCCGGGAGGACTGGGAGGCAGCCCTGCTCGGCTACTCTGACCTGGCGGCCCTACGGGCCTTGGTTGATCGTGCCAGGGCCGCGGCCGTCGCCAATGGGATCCTGTAAGAAAGAGCCCAACAAGTGTTACTACGGAGCGGCCCCTTAAGGACCACTCTCCACCCTCCGTGTACATATCTTTCATAAATAATTTTTTTTCACCACCACCCAAAGTTAAGACAAGTGCTACAGCACAAATTGAAGACGAGGACTCGGAGACTATCGAGAACGAGCACGAGCTTCTGGTTGAGTATATGTCCCACCGTGGTGGTCTAGTGGCTAAAACACTAGTCTGCTGACCCGGATGTTGCGGGATCAAATCCCGGCTTCGGCGACTGCATTTTTTTTTGGGGGGGGGGGGGGGGGGGACACAAATGTTGTAGGCTCGTATGCTCAAATTTGAGTGCACGTTAAAGAACCCCAGGTGATCGAAATTTACGACGCCCTCCCCTATCGCGTCTCTCATAGTCATATGGTGGTTTTGAGATGCTAAACCCCACATATTAATCGATCCGGTTAAGTATATGGAGCAGAAGCGAGCGCTTATATACGCCAAATCATGAATAACAACGTATACGAATTATGAGGTATGAAAAAGAAAAAAGGTTGAGCAAAAGCATGAGGAAAAAAAGAAACAAGGAAAACAGACCATCGGGCATGGAAAAACAACGCGAAAAACTGCCTCTTCCTGAGCGCGCCAGTGCTCCCAAAAAAACCTTACTTCGTTCCCAGATAGGGCTACGAAAGTCTTACTAACGCTTGAGTCATGCTCACTTGCCATTTGCGCAGACTCAACAATGACGCGGGTGCGATCACCTCCGAGTTTGTTCAGCGTTACTGTGTCTTCTAAATGAGGGCTGCATTTACACGAAGTATCATACGCTGCGCAAGAAACGCGTCTTTGGACATTAGTAGCGTGTTCCCTTCTGCGGTCGTTAAGGCATCTTCCCGTCTGTCCTACGTAGCATGCAGCGCAGGAGAGGGGAACCGTGTACTCAACTTCACGCAAGCATTTCGCGCAATTGCTTCACGCTACTGGCGGCAGAACACTGCTGCTTGAGAAGGCGCCAGATTGATTAACTTGAAAGAAGCAGAAAAACACCACACGATAGCCGGAACATTTCCTAATCTTTCTGAGGATGTGAGATAGCCGGTGTTTGTAAGAGACGACGGCTATCTTTTCCCGATCACTGGCTGTGCTGACCGTGATGGGAACTCAGTTCTGTTGGAAGTGGGTACTCGTCCCCTTTTGTCTCTGTGTCCTCCTCTTGCAGTTCACGGCATAGCACTCGTCATGATATATCAATAGCCCAAGCCGCTAAGCTCCCAAGTCAGGGAGGCAAGCACGAGAGCACCCTGACGTATACGTGGCAAGATAGATACGTAGATAGACACGCACCAATTACATTCAGTCCGCTAAGAAATGCTTCGCGTTTAAAAACAGTTTCGTAAACTCGGCCTCCAAATGTGCAGAAAATGCTTAGAAAATAGTTCGTAATATAACGTTCAAATCGCACGAAGCGTGGTATCCAAAGCTGGCGCATTTCCCACAAAACAAGCCAGCTGGTTCGTTTGACTATAGGGGTGCTGTGACACCGCTTTGCACAAACGCGCCTCTGCGCGCGCAGTACGCCAAGCAGAAAAACGAATTGCGGTGGCACTGTGCCATTGTCTGTCTCGGGCCGAGCTCCAATGCGAGTGTGTACCATGCATGTCCAGACTGCAGGCATCAAGGGGCAACAAAACACCGACGTTTCGTCTCGGGCTCGGTGCTATTTTAGATTACCACCCCGGGCCGAGACTACCTCACCGAAATACAACTGCTGCGACGCGTTCGCAATCCCTGCGACTTCCTCACTGCTTTACAAACGGGGAATTTCAGCGTCAGCATCGGCATACAACCACGTCGGGATGAATGATGCAAAATTTCGAAAGTGGACCGAATGCTTGATTTATATATATATATATATATATATATATATATATATATATATATATATATATATATAATGTAAGCCTTCAGATAACGCATGGGATTCTTTACCAGCTGAGCTACAGCGGTAGTCACCCTCCCGTGC